CCTCCCCTGTTCTTGGACAATCAACATCTGCCTTGACACATTCCATGGTGATGGGCCTAATGTGTCTGTGCTACCTGTGTGGATATAAATGCTGATATATGTTCCTGACACTAATTAGAACTGAAGAAGTGGCTTGGATAAGCTATAGAATGTCTTCAACATTACAAAACAAGTCCAGTTCAATGTGACCATCTTCTACTAGCTATCCCACTTCTATTATTTTCCCCTCGTGCTTGTCCACCAAAACCTCCATTATCTTCTCATGCTTGTCCAGCTAGATTTCCATTATCTTCATCTCATGCTTCTTCACCTAAACATCCATTATGTTCTCCTCAAGCTTGTCCACCGAGACTTCGATTACCTCCACCTTATTCTTGTCTACCTTGACCTTCCTCTCATGCTTGTCCACCTAGACTTCCATTACCTTCTCCTCATTCTTGTTCGCCTAGACTTCCATTACCTTCTCCTCGTGCTTGTCCACCAAAACTTCCATTATCTTCTTCTCATGCTTGTCCACCTAGACTTCCATTACCTTCTCCTCATTCTTGTTCGCCTAGACTTCCATTACCTTCTCCTCGTTCTTGTTCACCTCGACTTCCATTACCTTCTCCTCGTGCTTGTCCACCAAAACTTCCATTATCCTCTCTTGCTTGTGCACCGTGATTTCCATTATCTTCATCTCCTGCTTCTTCACCTAGACTTCCATTATGTTCTCCTCAAGCTTGTCCACCTACACTTCCATTATCTTCACATCATTTGTGTCCACCTAGACTTCATCTGCAACTCCTATACAACCCAGTCTGTCTATGTATCCACCACCAAGATTAATACTGTCTAAGTTAAATGATCCTCTACCAATCCTACCATCCTTCCACCCATTTTTTAGATTTTTTCTTTTCAGTCTACAGATAATATTCCTTTTCCCATATCTACCACTCATTTAATTTCCATCTGCTTAATCACCAATCTTTCATCTACAGCCTCTGTACAGCCCATCCTGTCCAAACCACCCATGCCCTCCTTTTCTTTTCTTATTCTGCCATCTTGGATCTGTCTATTGATTTTACCACCTTTCTATCAGTTTAGACTTATTTGCTTCCTAAAAATACAATTTATCTCAATATTCCATCCTCGTAGAACATGCCCGTTTCTCCTCCTTCATACCCTCCACGTTGAACAGGTTGCTGGAGTCCCACGTCCGTTCTGAGGGTGCCTGTGTAATTGGCAGAAGGTAGGACCGGTATCCTTTGCATAAGCAGGACATAAATCTCAGAAACGAGGCCCGTACGTCCAGTTCCAGTTGTGTCCGCCGTCCGTAGATCAGATCATAATCCTTCAGCAGGAACTCCAGAGAAGCTTCCTCCATGGGCTTGTTATACACTGCAAGGGAAAAGGCAAAGTAAGCTACACAGATACGTGGCACAATTAATCACAATAGATCTGAGTGTATTAAACAGCAGCACCAATCAATATTGGTTTCTGAATTGTGGGTGGTGTGAGGCAGGCCTAATTCTCTTCTTATAAGATCTGCTAACTATTCCCAGCACGAAAGAATAAACTGACCTCAGAAAGACTATATAAGGCACTCTCTAGTACTATTTCCATGGCTTGTGAGTGAAATCTCCTCACCGGGGTCCTGGACTGTGTGACCAGATGCCCACTAAGCACAGATAGGTACTGTGTCTGAAGCCAACATAGACGTTTTGGGCTTATGAAGTTCAGGGACACAGATCAGACATAGCACAGTGCTGGGGTATGCACAGCACAGATAAGAGACAGAACAGACAGTGGAAACAGAGCAGGATGCCGACCATAGACAGCAGGAACAGCAAGGTCAGTGTAGGTACACATACCAGACAGCGGGCACAGTGCAAGGACACAGACCAGAGGCAGAACAGACAGCAGACACAGTATAGGACACTGACCAGAGACAGCAGAAAAAGTAGGCACAGTGCAGGGACACAAAGCAGAGACAGCGGGCACAGTACAGGGACACAGAGCAAAGGCAGCATAGACAGTGGGCACAGTCCAGGACACAGACCAATTGCAGCATTAGCAGCAGGGACAGCTACCAGACAGGCCAATCAGCAGACACGGAGCACCAATCAGCAGGCACTGGGAACCAATCAGGAGGTACAGGGTCACCAATCAGCAGGCACAGGGCAGAGGAGTGAAGTAAGCAGAGTCCTCACTCTCATCTAGCTGTTTGTGGAGGTCACTCAGGCAGTTCCGCAGGACTTTGCAGGGTCTGCGAGGTAATTGCTGATAAGAAGGGATCTTTTTCTCTTCACTCCTGTAAGACGGACACAGAGCTGAATATATGCAGATAACATGGCTGTCCAAATTACCCATGATACAACACGAGCAGGAGGATGTGCGAGAAGCATCAGATATCTTACTGGAACAGGGTGTTGGTATCCAGGTCCACGCACAGGACATCCTGAGGGGGGTCGTGGAGGTCAAAGTAACTGGAGTGGATGCCGACGATGAACGGCACCGGAGCACAGAGCACATCGGCGAGGGTCAGCGGGCACAGAGGGATGTAGGGGCACTGCCATCGCAGAGGGAAGATAACCTGCAGACAGAACAGGAAGGCTATCACACAACTGGAACATATATGGCTGTCATTATGTAACATTAGAACATAAAACCAGAGGTTGCCTCAGGTAGTCCATCTGCCTGTTTTCATCACAGACAAAGGTGTCGGAGTATCTGTATATGCTGGCATACAATTAAAGGAAAACGCAAACATGGCGGACACTCACGGACACCAGGGCCTCTGCCACGCTGGTCAGGACGTCCGGCCGCTGTGAATGGATGAGCAGCTTCTGTTCGGTGAGGACAGCGAGGAGTAACGTTACCGCGTTCTCCGGGCCAAGATTCTGGAGCAACGTCACAAAACTCGCTCCGCTGTAAGGGAATAAGACGCAGGTTACTGCAACCGTAAAACAAAGTCGGCGCTGCCTGTGATCACTTATAGCTGCTAACATGAGTAGGACCTCTCAGTCTAGTTTAACGTAGTATCAAATTGTAATTTCTCTGTATCAAATATTTACACTGAATTATATCCTAAACTGTAACAATGTATCTTTCCCCAAGGTGCCAACATATAGTGTACCCAAGTTGATCCACCTCTGTGACCTCACTCACCAGATCTGCTGACCTCACAAGAAGTATGGAGTGAGAACATGCTTTATAATACACCCTCCGACCAGATCACTTCGCACACCCAGTTCCTGCTACAGGTAAGGATGTTTACCCTTAGTGGAATTAACATACCTCCTCTGCGTGATTGGATGATCAGAAGGGATCGTCTGCCTGGTCTGGTATGCAGAAGAAGTGTGGTAATTCTACTAAAGGGAAGACTGAGGCCCAATAACCTTTTGCCAGACACATCCCAAAGGAGCCTCCTGTGATGCCTTGCCATGGCACTTAGGTTCACTATCTCTCCCAGCATGCCCAGTCTGGCATGCAGAGGAAGTGCGGTAACTCCACAAAAAGGAAGACTAAGGGCCTGACACGTCCCAAAGAAGCCTTCTGTAATGCCTTGACATGGCACCTAGGTTGATTACATTTCCCAGCATGCCTGGTCTGGTATGCAGTAGAAATAAAGTAGTTCCAATAAGGGGAAGACTAAGGTCCAAACACCTTTGGCCAGACACATCCCAAAGAAGCCTTCTGTGATGCCTTGCCACGGCACCTAGGTTGGCTACCTCTCTCAGCATGCCTGCCTGGTCTGATATGCAGAGGAAGTGCGGTAATTCCACAAAATGGAAGACTAAAAAGGTCCAAGAACTTATGGCCAGACCCATCCCAATAGAGCGTTCTGTTATGCTTTGCCATGGCACCTAGGCTGACTACATTTCCCAGCACGCCTGGCCTGGTATGCAGAGAAAGTAAAGTATTTCCAATAAGGGGAAGACTAAGGTCCAAGAACCTTTGGCCAGACTCGTCCTAAGAAGGCTGCTGTGATGCCTTGCCATGGCACCTAGGTTGACTACATCTCCCAGCATGCCTTTACATTGCTCAGCGGGGTTGCTGGTAGAGGAGGAGCACAGAAGGAAGAGCGTGGCCAATTTGAATCCTCTGCCATCGGAGGATACTGGAACTGGCACAATCCCCGCCATTTTCATTGGTGTCACCAGTTCAGATATGGAGGACCAATATTCCTCTCTGGCAGCAAAGGGCAGCCATGGCTTCTTGAATGAAAATTGGTTCTGGTTTAAATTCGGGGGCGTGTTTCTTAGGGGGGATAAAACCATGCTGATAGTTAGACATGTGTAGATCTGGCTAAGGTCCTTGGCTGCTGCCTCTGTGATCACGATGGAGGAATTGCCCATCAGAAGATCAAATCCTGGTTATGTAGTTCGCTTGGAAGCTCATTTAAGATATTTATTGAGCAAAGACATCAGATACAGCCAACACATTTTGGGGGGAATGGACTGTTTCTTCTTCATGGCTTGAGCAATGATTTGCAAGCAAATTGGGAAAGAATGCACTAGTGAGGAGATCCAAACTGATCCAATCCAGTTGGGATGTGTCCTCCAAGCGTGACAAGCTTTTCTTACAAGGTGCTCCTAACTACATACCCAGAATTCATATCAAATCAATGAGACATTGCACTTCACAGCCATTGGTAAATAAACAGGAAATTGCCCAATCAGGGAGGGCCTTGTACTGCGCAATAACTGGTGAATGTTCAAGAGATTGTCCAATCAGGGAGGTCTTTGTACTGCACAGCCATTGGTGAATGTACAGGAGATTATCCAATCAGGGAGGGCCTTGTACTGCGCAATAACTGGTGAATGTTCAAGAGATTGTCCAATCAGGGAGGTCTTTGTACTGCACAGCCATTGGTAAATGTACAGGAGATGGTCCAATCAGGGAGGCACAGCCATTGGTGAATATACAAGAGAGCGTCCTATCAGAGAGGCCTTTGAACTGCACAGCCATCGGTAAATGTACAGAAGATTGTGCAATCAAAGAAGGTTTGGAACTGCACAGCCATTGGTGAATATACAAGGGAGCGTCCAATTAGGGAGGCTGTATGAGGAGGCTGCCTTGTACTGCACAATAATTGCGGAATGTACAAGAGACTGCCCAATCAGGGAGGCCCTTGTACTGCACAATAAATGGTGAACGTACAAGAGATTGTCCAATCAGGGAGGCCCTTGCACTGCACAATGAATGGTGAACGTACAAGAGATTGTCCAATCAGGGAGGCCCTTGTACTGCACATTGAATGGTGAACGTACAAGAGATTGTCCAATCAGGGAGGCCCTTGTACTGCACAATAATAATTGGGGAATGTACAAGAGACTGTCCAATCAGGGGGGCCTGTGAACAGCACAGCCATTGGTGAATATACAGGAGATTGTCCAATCAGATTGTAACCAGGTTCATTCTCTGACTAAATAAAATTAAAAAACTCCTGGAGGGGTAAAAATGATCGCCGTCTATTTCCACTGAATTATAATTAAGCTAAATGTTATTTTAATATAAAATGATTTCTATCTGCATTCTATATATTTAATTAAATGTCAACTTTAGTAATAAAAAACGGAACATCTGAACATAAAGAAGGTTCCAGGCTCACCTGAGCGGGAGGGGAGAAGACACGGGCTGACACAGTAGGACATTGTCGTACGGAGACATCTGAGGATGGAGATGACACGTTACATAAGAAACACTCACTAAAGCCGCTGCTAGTCACCGATTATCAGATCAGACAGAAGGGCTTCTAATACCACCCAGACATTGCCAGCTGCTGATCATAATTTTACACCTCACTTGAGTTTTAAATACATTTTCTACAACCAGACTAAGCAGGATTTTTACAGTGTCTTCTGGCAGGGGACTACAGACTCTTGCCAGATGTCCGCACCGGAGTGCAGAGGGAGGGTGCTGTTCTGTATGAAATGTGGGCTTGCATTTACGGTTGCAACAACTAATCAATGAAACCGATAATAAAATCGATTACGAGAAAAGTTGTCCACTATTCTCATTACCGATTAGTTGGATTGGGGGGGGGGAGAGC